CTCCGCGCGCTCCGCTGAGGCTCTCGGCCCAGCAGCTGCACTGCCTCGGCGTAGCGGGCATCGCGGATGAGCCGGTACACGACCGCGGTGAACTCCCCGTCGGGGATCTGCGCGCAGCTCAGGCCGGCCATAACCGCCACGGCTGTTTTGTCTGTAGTTACCACGGCAACCGGAAACGGAAGACTGCCTATTACTTTGCCGCAAGAAGTCTGTTAGGAATGAAAAGGGACTATTCTCTTCAGTCTCTCAAGTTTGGTTTGATCTTCAAAGACTCTGAACTGCAGAGTGACAGCAGTCAGGTGGGGAAAAGCTACTTCTCTGGGTTGTTCAGAAACCGAACCTCCCCATCCCGGCATGCACCGTTCCAGTTGCGCCGCGGTCTGGGTGATGGCCGCGCTGCATGCTGGGAGGTGTAGTCTCTGCTGTACAGACCAGCCCCCGCGGCCCGTGGGAACACAAGGTCATCACCCTCCTTCTCTGCCCTTTAAAAATGAGATGTCTGTGTGTGTTGTGCCACCTCGGTGTCTGGCGCGACGGAGGAAGGTTTCCGACCCCACGTTACTGGCGATTTTGAGCCTTGTACACTATACCAATGCTGGCTTTTGGTTTAGTTTTAGTAAAAGGACCTGGGTGGCAAAAAGCGAGTTATCTCTTTGAATTCCCCTAGAATTAGAGCAGGTTCTTTTTAGGCTACCCCAAAGGCACAGTTTGTAAGAACAGAATAGAGCTCCGAACAGGAATCCTTCATTTGGTAGTTTCCAGAGGTTAATGAGAAAAAGGTGCTGTGAATCTTAATTGGTACTGGGAAAGGTTCGGTTTTAGGTCCAAGTATCGCCCGCTCTTTTTTTCCCATAACAACAAATATTACTGTGTGTATGTTGGCGTTTACCCTTGGCCATCCCCATTGCGCTAGAGTTCCAACTTTCACTACTAAGTAGAAACGCTGGAGAAATGCATGACCTCAGTCTTTTTCACGAGGGGAAAATGCAAGACTAAAATGTGCTCCTTTCCCAATGGATTTTTACTCTCTTAACTGCTAAATTAGTCAGCCAGAGATGTGTGTGTGTGTGTGTGTGTGTGTGTGAGAGACAGACATGCTCTGGTTGTACTTGTCAGGCTTCTAGGAATTTTGAATATTGAGCTGAGAAATGTGGATTTTATTCTGTTAAAATAAAAAAGATTGCCTATACTTTTTCCAGACGCTTAGTTTGAAGATTTCTATGCGGATTTGCTAGACTGTACAAGATATCATTCTGGGTTTTAATTCTTTGTTATATATTTGGAATAGATGCTGTAGATTCCATTTTATTATCCTGGGGCTATTTTTGTAAAAATTTTTTTCAATTCAATAATGCCCATGATGGGGCTGCAGAAAACAAGGGGCTTAATTAATCTATGAAATTATATCTAATTAGTAATTTAAAAAATACCCATAGATTAAACTGACCTGGAGACCATAGACTTTAAGGCAGGCAGAATAAATACAATTTTTCAATCAAGAATTAGGAACATAGACAAGATAGCAAAATATGAATTTGACTTATCCCAGTGAAGTACTTGTAAATAGTGTAGTTTTCAAGGTAACAATAATAGTTGTAATTCATTAACATCTATCATATGGTGGCCTGGGACAGGGCATTGTCTTTTGTAGTCTTCCATGATGTCCATTGGCCTCACTGCCACCCAAGATAAACAGTCCAAGTTAGAGCATGTCTTCACTATGTAATTTAATACTTCAATGCAGGTACCTTACTGCCTCTTCAACAGTATTGCTGTCTGTAAATCTTTTCTACATATAAATTTTGGAGCCAACACCGACCATATTGCATTGCATTCTATTAGAAGACCTATATATATTATTTTGAACCATAATAACCAACTTGTTTTCTGCATATTACTGTGAACATGTGAATCAGAAAGATTAGGTAACTTGCTCGAGATCACACAGCTAGATAAGAAGCAGCTGAACCATGACATTCCAAAGCTAAGTTCTGTAGGTAGTAGTCACTGATGAATTAACTCTGTCTGTCATATATGGGCCCAATTATAGGAGAATATTAGTGTCTTGCATTTTTTATGTTGTTATTTTCCTGTTAAAGCAACCAGCCACCTTGGTTTGGGCAGTGGAAATTTGAACTTCTTAGACTAAGTTGTAACTGTGAGCAGGTATTAGGAAGTGATTAGTTGGGGATGGTCACCTGGTATACCTAAAAAGGAACTTCAGTAGTCATCTGAATGCTATACTATAAAGCAGTTGGCTTCATGTACTCATATATTCCATCTTGCGGAGAAGTTTGTCACAGTTCTCTCCTTCTACATGAGAACAGACGAGGAACCTCATACTGCATCAATACCAAGAAAGGGACAAAGTACGCTCATTTTAGAGGGGTTAAGTGTAGCTGTGGACCATGCAAGAACACCAGGGAAAGCAGCTGAGGAAGGCCACTGTAACCCTATTTCAAGGCTTCTTTCTATCCAATCTCAGCTAGAGCCTTATCCAGTTTTCAACTCACAACTGTTTGTAGATTGAAAGATGCTAGCTAGTGCTGCTCAATAATCAAGGAGTAGGGGGTGTTCTGCTTAGTGGCTGCCTAATTGACACTTGTCCCTTGGAAACAATATCCAAGAGGCTTAATATTTAAAAATTCTCAGTCCGGGCACTGTGTCTCATGTCTGTAATCCCAGAGCTTTGGGAGGCTGAGGTGGGAGAATCACTTGAGGCCAGGGGTTCAAGACCAGCCCGAGTAACATAAGAAGACCACACCTCTCCACAAAAAAAAAAAAAAAAAAAAAAAAGGGCATGGAGGTACATATGTGTAGTCCCAGCTCAGAATGCTGAAGCAGGAGAATTACTTGAGCCCAAAAATTTGAGGTTGTGGTGAGCCATGATCATACCACTGCACCCTAGTCTAGGTGACAGAGTGAGACTCTGACTCTAAAAAAAAATAAAATAAAATTCTTATATATTGATCTGTTACCTTGGATAAGTTGTCAATGAATTAAGGTAAGGAGACAGAACACGGAAATGGGAAATTGTCTTTCCTATCTTTCACTGTTCTCTCTATTTTGCAGAGTTGTATTTGCATCATGAAAGCATTCACCTTCAAATGGCTTCCTGAAAATATATGAAAAGTAAAAGGACTATATTTTCTCCTCCAAATTTCTGGGATCCCTACCAGGATTCAGCTGGGGTTCTCCTCTTTGTGTGGGTACCTTTGAGCATGGCAGCTGGAATGGGCAAGGGGGAGGTTGTTCTGTGTCTCTTCCTCCTTTTTTCATGTGATGCTGCTCCAGAGGCCTGGCTTGAAAAAAGCAGGACATTCGGCTTAGACAGATGGGGGGCAGGGTCATTTTCAAAATGAAATGAGTGCACAGATCACACTGTGAAATTGGCATGACCATCACTGCTGCTGTGATAGACCGACTTTTATTTGGTCTCTGATAAGCATATGAGGAATAGATTAGTTTTTTGGGTGGTGGAGGACGGAAGGGAGGCCCTTTAATTAATGATAGAAATTCTGGAAAGCAATAAACAGGGTAGAATATCATAAAATATCTTTTTTGCTTATAACAAAATCTTGAAAAGCTGGACCGCATATCAAAAAGTCAGTCTATAATACCACTCCCAGCAGTAGGAAAGCATTTGGTGTTTACAATAAAATGATTTAGTGCCTTATCGAAAGGAATTTAGCTTTCAGGAAATAGTTTAGGACTCACAGTAGATTTTGCTGAATAAGCAGAGGTATGTTCACCATGTAGAAGAATTCCATTTAGGTAAAATATATAGGAGCAAAAAGCATGATGTTTGGCTCTTAACACGTTTGTGTTTCTGCCTGCCAAAAGAGGCATGTATATTCTATTTGGCAGTCTCTTTTAAAACTAACTGGTCAACATGGTGAAACCTTGTCTCTACTAAAAATACAAAAAATTAGCTGGGCATGGTGGCGTGTGCCTGTAATCCCAGCTACTCAGGAGGCTGAGGCAGGAGAATTGCCTGAACCCAGGAGGCGGAGGTTGCGGTGAGCCGAGATCGCGCCATTGCACTCCAGCCTGGGTAAAAAGGGCGAAACTCCACCCCAAAAAAAAAAAAAAAAAAAAAAAACTAACTGGAAGTGATTGTTTCATGAAAATAACTACTTCTTGTTGGTAAATATTGTTAATTTATGAGTATTTCAACCACAGCTGTGGTCAAACATCTTCCTTAATAAAGGAAAGTGGTTTCTGAAAAACCACTTTCTACTTGTTATTCCTGTCCTCCCATTCATTCCAGGGCATTTTCTTTAGGCATTTCAGTTATGGGATTTAACTTTTTTCTCTGGTAGTTCCAGCTCTATTAATATTTTAAATAGTAATATATTTTCTTCTTAAATATGCCTTGCTTTTGATAAATGGTTTTTATTTCTGGGTTTATGGTATTGCTATGGTTTGGACATGGGTTTTTTCCCACCAAATCTCACAATTTGATTACTGGCACTGTGGTGCTGCGAGTTGTTTGGGTCATTGGGGTGGATCCTTCATGAATGGCTTGGTGCCATTCCAATAGTAGTGATAGTTATTGCTCTCATGAGACTGGATTAGTTTTCGTGGAAATGGATTAGTTCCCACAAGAGTGGGTTGTTACAAGGCAAGATGCCCTTGTGTTTTGCACCTTCACATATGTCCACTTCCTCTTTGACCTTCTACCATGTTAGGATACAGCACAAACACCCTTACCAGAAGCTAAGCAGATGCTGGCACCATGCTTCTTGTACTTCTCAGCCTGCAGAACCATCAACTAACTAAACCTCCTTTTTTTGTAAATTACCCAGTCTTGGGTATTTATTCTATTAGAGTAACACAAAATGGACCAACACAGAAGATTGGTTCCGATGAGTGGGATTTGCTCTGTGGATACCTAAAAATGTGGAGTCTGCTTTGGAACTGTATAATGGGCAATGGTTGAATGAATCTGAAGGAGGAGCAGGCTAGAAAGAGACTGTATGCAATGAACAGAGCATTAAGGTCAGTTCTGGTGAGGGCTTAGAAAAAGATGAAAAGATGAGGGAAAGTTTGGAACTTTTTCGAGATTGTTTAAGTGATTGTGACGAAAATGCTGATAGAAATATGGACAATAAAGGCCATGCTGATGAGGTCTCAGATGCAAGTGCTGATGAGATCTCAGATGGAAGTGAAGAATGTCTTATTGAAAAATTGAAGTAAAGGCCATCCTTGTTACACAGTTGCAAAGAAATTGGCTGCAGTATGTCTTCTACTCCCTAGAGATTTATGGAAGGCAGCACTTAATGGTGATGAACTTTTGTGTCTGGTGGAAGAAATTTCTAAGAATAACATCATTCAAGAAGTGATCTTGTTACTTTTAATAGCTTATGC